GTTTCGAATCCACAAAACGAAGGATAATTTCAGAGAAATCTGATATTTGTATTGATAATTGAATGAATGATTCTGATATTTGTGTTACACATATTTATAATAAAAGAGAACCCTCATCCATAAGGAAACTAATTACAACTTGAATCCTTATAATATAAGGAAACCTAATCCCGAAATGATACTAATACAAAAAAATAAGCCTAAAAATAAAGTTTCTCTAAAAATTCTGAAAAAAAAAATAGGGAAAAAAAACCTAATAAAATAAAACTACTAAATATAAAATTTGAATGCAATCTGAGTTTGTTTAGACAACAAACAAAAATTCTGAAATATTCGACAGGCTTATTTCAGACAAAAAAAACCCTGTTTTGAGGCCATAAATGATGGTATTTCGCTGAAAAAGCATGTTACGTCACGACGTAACAATGAGTCTTGTTCGTTGGGCTGTTTCCAGTAAAAAAAAACTCACCAGTCGGGTAAAAAACGCACACCTTTGGATCAGCCAAAAAAATCTATTAGTATGCCAGTTTAGCCCCTTGGTGGTCCAAACGGGGCTATAAAGGCTTCAACAATCAGTTCTACAGCACAAACGCTACCTGCACTATCCACCATACAACTATGAAAATCTACAATAACACAATTAACTACCAACCATAATGCCGAACATTCCATAAAACTCATCAACTTCCAAAGATAACTAATGAAGACAAACTCTCTCATGATCATTTCTGAGAAGGATCACCCCAGTCCACAGGTGTACTATCGAATACTTATCATAGAGGTCTTCACGATATACCTCAATAATCAATGTATAAATCCCTTAAACATATCGAATCTTATCCCCAAACAAGACTTGTCACTTCTCAACAAGGCTCACCTTAAAAAAGAACTGCTCTAACCATGCTCCAATGAAATACAATGCACCACTCTCACTGTTGCTAACCATAAGGAGTAATCGTTGACCTTTTGACCCGATATTCAGGAGAAATATTTGGCCAGGCTATTTCCATCATCAATCCAACCCTAACACTAACACCAACGTCATTTCTGTCTTCAGGTTTAAATCTCAAATATGACTTCCATAACCATACAGGCACACTTTACGCCACGACATCAACACCTAAACCATACCACTTTTCCTCCATTTTTTTTTCTATGTTTAAAAGAATTGAAAATGAAAAAATCAGCATACAAGGGTGAATGAATTCCTCTCTCTATCTCCTTCCAGATTCTATTCTCTCCATTTTTTCACGTAAATTTCGCTCTGCACTTTATTAAAAGCAAACGCAAGTTTAACTATTTCTATCCAAATCCTTCCCTTTCTTTTTTTTCTTGATTCCATCTATCCAATCAAGTCCTAAGAAATGTATTCAAAGTGAGCCAATGAGAAGGAAAGGGAGGAAAGGATTAAAAAGAAAAAGAAAAAGAAAAAGGAAATGAAACATACGTAGATATGAATCTAATAGTGAGACGTGGAAGGAATGGAGAAGTGAGCAAGAAGGGATTTGTATTTAAATTATAATTTAAGTGTATAGTCCATAAGTGAAAAATATTTGAAAGAAAAAATAATGCAATTAAGAATTAATTTGTTTAACCTATTTAAGTTATTTTATTTCGAATTCTATTTATCATATTTAATTCTAAAATAGGATTAAAGATTTGACACTTCTTTATATCTCTAATTACCATTTATGTGCTTTAATCATGTTTAACTCACGACTAATATTTATTTTTTTCTTTTCTTTTCCACTGATTGTGGAAACCCAATGTACTCTTTAAGCAGTGAAAGTGAAGGTTGATTCAAACACATGTCTTTAGTTTCTTCTCTTTTCAACAGATTTTGTTCACTTGGTCTTCTAAAAACCCTTCTTTGAAGCAGTGAAAGTGAAATTGATTAATGAACACATCTCTTTAATTTTTTCGCTTTTCAACAGATTTTGTTCTATCTTTGTCTTCTAAAGACACTTCACAAACATAAACCCTACTCAAATGACAAATGGAACAAAGTTCACCAAACCATCTAGAAAAGCAATGAAGGGTGGAGAAAGAAGGATGGAAAAATAAAAATAAAAACAAGATCTTTAAATTGCAACCTAAAATAACCTCACAGTCTCATGAAGTTTCTTTGACCCCACTACTTAAAGCAATATATAATTTTTTAGAGTAAGTAATAATGTTATAATGAGATAACCCTCGTTACAGTTGTCATGGGCTCTCTTTGTTTTTATATATTTTTTCTTGTAATTATGTATAGATATTGAGGCGTGTTTCTAACTGATTGAAGGGGATTGTACAAAGATAATGTAGTCAAAATTCGTATCAAAATTCATTTAAAACCAAGAATCAATCAAATTTTACATTCCCTTTATTTTAATTTTATTTGATCAGATTAAATTATTATATTTGACCATATTATTTAGGTAAAAGTGCAAAATATTCCCTATACTATCACAAAAGTGAAAAATAATCCCTAAACTCTCACGGGTTGCAAATCAATCCCTCACTATACAAAAACTTTGCATAAAGGACCTTGCCTATTATCGGATTACATTTTTCGACTTTCAGAGAATTAAAATTATCAAAATAACTTATTAATTTATATAAAAATTATAAAATATTATAAATCATAATGTGTTTTAAGAATTATCTAATCAAACAACTTTTCAAAATATGTTAATTTAAATGAAAGCCCATAACAACGGTCACAGCGTAGCGTTACTCTAATTTTCATGCCAATTTTTCTATATTACCTCATGTATAACTTACAACTCTTCATCTTTGTACAATTGAACCAACGTCCTTGCATTAATACTATTACGGTCCTAAAATACAACCTATAATGCAAACATTGCAGGAAAAGGACTGCATAATTAGTATGGGCCCATGCACACAGAACAGAATCCCCATCCCACTCACGCAAGCCCTTCACAAGGAATTTGTTAGATAGAAGAGAAACTTAATTGCAACAGGTATATTAGTAACATGATATAATCAACTGATTAAATACGTGAGGTATAATCAATTAAAATAAATTATTTTTATTTATGTAATAAAGTAAGATTGGTTGATAGTAAATATAATGATGTATTAAAGATGCATGAAAGTATAATAAAAGATAAATTACAACAACCCCATTAAATTTGAACAAAGTATATCAGGTAAATTATTTTATATCTATGGTAAATTATAACGACACACCTTGTGTTTTGCTGTAATGACACTTATATACAAGTTAGGCGTTTTTTTGAACAATGACACCTATTGACAAAATTAAGAACCAAACAGACCCTTAAAAAATTTGAAAAGACAAAATTGTCCATCAATATTTAACTAATTTTAATTGTAAAATATTAGAATTTTAAAATGACACTTTTGCCCTTCCACCAATCTCTTCTAACCTATTGATCCCCACCCTTTCTTTCTCTTCACCTGCCGCCATCCCCTTAACCACAGCCACCGCCGCTTAATTATCCTCAAACACATCCCGACACCACCACCTTCTCAACCACAACCGCCGCCATCATCTCCCCCACCACTTCTCCTCAATCACAGCCACCACCACCTGTCTCTCTCCACCCATCGGTGATTGCACAATATCACATCTCTTATCACCACTACCACGCTTGAACTGTGCAAAATCAAACACCAGATCCATTAGCATCATGAGACCGTGGTCGGAGGTTATGGCGGAGAAGGTGGTATCACCGGAATTAACTGAATCAGATTCGTTTGATTCCTTTGCGCGATCTAAAATCTCGCTTGACAGAGCAGTATATGTGAGTCGATATATATATATATTGTCTGTAACTTCTATATATATATATATATAATGTCTCAATATTGGCAGAGATACAGATCGTGCAAAGTGATTCTATCTATATATATATATATATATATATATATATATATCAGGTTATATATATATATATATGTGTGGTCTGTAACTTCTATATATATATATATAAAATATATCTTCATATTGGCAGAGACACAGATCGCGCAAAGTGATTCTCTGTGTGTGTGTGTATATATATATATATCAGGTTATGTATATATTGATCATATTTGCAGATCATGCAAAGTAAGTATATATATATATATATATATATCAGGTTATGTATATATTGATCATATTTGCAGATCATGCAAAGTAAGTGTGTGTGTATATATATATATATATCAGGTTATGTATATATTAATCATATTTGTATATAGGTAGATGTGTGACAGGTTATTTTGGACATTTCAAATTTATTAAAATGGGTAATTTAGTAATTTTACTATTAAAAAATGTTACTTCATAGGCAAAGGGCTCTTAGTCATTTTACCACATGTCATACCAGGTGTTTTTGTCAAAAGTAGCAAAGGTGAGATGTCATTGTTTAAAAGTGGATTAATTTATATATAATTGTCAATAAAGTAAAGTTTAAGGGTACTATTATAATTAACTCTTATATTTATTACTTTGATCTTTTCTAAAATTTGACGTGTGCTCAATCATACCCTTATTGTTTTCTCTCTGATGAGTGATCAAATATTATAAAATACTATCACTGTTTCATAATAAATGACCTTTCGAGAATTAAAATTTTTTTAAAGAGAATGTATAATTAATGCATTGTTTTTTTTTTAAAAATTATTATAATATAAAAAATATAAAATAAAAAATAAAAAAATAAAATAATGATGATGATGAACATTAGAATGGAGACTCAGAAAGGGTATATATTCTAAAACATAAATATATTATTACAATGGAATGGTATTACAAACTTTTCATATTCAGAGGAAAGGATTTAAAGAATGTCAAAGTAATAAATTCTGAAATTGCCTCAATTTGCTGAACTCTTTAAGACAAGTCCGTGTAATTCGCACTTTTCAAAAAAAAAAAGAAAAAAGAAAAGAAAAGAAAAAAAAGTCCGTGTAATTCACTCAGCGATAAGATGACAATTGTACCATGCACAAAGTGCCTACTAGAATGTACTGAAAACTGAAAACACGCTCTCTGTGTGTCTCTTCAACATATGGCTTAACCGAAACACAACCATGCTTTGCTAAAGCTCATAACATCACTCACACTCACAAACATCACCTACACCGCTTTCTCTCTCTATATATACTCTTCCTTGCCTTGCTCATACCTTCACAAACAACCATCTTCCTCTCTCACTCTAGAAGTTCGTCACCAAAAAAGCCCCATTTTTTCTCTTTCCATGGCTCCAAGCTTGACCAAAGGTGCCTTGGAGGCAATGGGTCTGATTGATACTCAACTACCTCTCTCAATCACCCTGGAAGGAGCAACTTTTTTGGCTAATGGCCATCCATTTCTCACTCAAGTCCCTCCAAACATTACATCCACACCCTCTCCACTCCTCTCCAAAGACATCATGGCCAAGAACACGGTCGGTTGCTTCGTCGGCTTCGACGCCGACGAGCCCAAAAGCCGCCACGTGGTCCCCATCGGCAAGCTCAGGAACACAAGGTTCATGAGCATATTCAGATTCAAGGTCTGGTGGACCACCCACTGGATTGGCAGCAGCGGAAAAGACCTGGAACACGAGACTCAGATGGTGGTTCTCGACAAATCCGACGACGTCTCCGGTGGGCGCCCCTACGTTTTGCTTCTTCCACTCCTGGAGGGACCGTTCAGGGCTTCACTCCAGCCTGGCGACGACGACGACGTGGACGTCTGCGTGGAGAGTGGGTCCAGCCACGTCAGCAGCTCCAACTTCAGGAGCTGCATGTACATGCATGTTGGTGATGACCCTTATCAATTGGTCAAGGAGGCCATGGAAGTGGTTAGGGTTCATTTGGGTACATTTAGGTTACTTGATGAAAAGTGCCCGCCAAAAATAGTGGACAAATTTGGGTGGTGCACTTGGGATGCCTTTTATCTTAAGGTACACCCCAAGGGTATTTGGGATGGTGTGAATGGTCTAGTAGAGGGTGGGTGCCCTCCAGGGTTGGTCCTGATTGATGATGGGTGGCAGTCCATATCACATGATGATGATCCCATCTCTGATCAAGAAGGCATGAATCGGACGGCTGCTGGTGAACAGATGCCATGTAGGTTGACCAAGTATGAAGAGAATTATAAGTTTAGGGACTATGAGAGCAAAAGGGTACCCTACAATAATAATAATAATAAGGGTATGGGTGCCTTTGTTAGGGACCTTAAGGAGGAGTTTAAGAGTGTGGAATATGTGTATGTGTGGCAAGCACTTTGTGGGTATTGGGGTGGCTTGAGACCGAATGTTCCGAATATGCCCGAGTGTAGAGTAGTGAAGCCCAAGTTGTCTGAGGGTTTGAAGAAGACTATGGAAGATCTGGCCGTTGATAAGATTGTGGACAATGGGATTGGGTTGGTCCCACCAGAGATGGTCCATCACATGTATGAGGGCTTGCATTCACACCTTCAATCGGTGGGCATTGATGGTGTTAAGGTGGACGTCATACATGTAAGTTTTTTTTTTTTTTTTTTTCTTCTCTCTATATGTATATATATGTATATATATATATGTATCTTTGTGTTATGTTGACAAATGATGTTACACGTGTTTAGTTGTAATGACATGCACTCTTTTTTGAGTTAAAAATAGACAGAGTGTACATGAGACACATCTAGAGGCTTGGTGGGAATTCTTGCTTTTAGAGTGAGCAACCTACAAAGGAGGGGTAGTTTTGTCCGAAAGTACAACCTGAAGCAGGAATTCCAGAAACTTACTAGTAATTAGATAGATGAATTAACATCATACCATATCATTTTTACAATTGAAATTAATTTTCTTAGAAATGCTAAAATGGAATATATATAATTCTATCACACACACAATTACATTATATTTATATAAAGAACATATGTCAAATATTCAAGGAAGATCTTAACTAATTAAAAAAAGGGGTTTTCACCCCTAAAAGATTTGGAAAATTCTAGAATAGTTCGGAGTATCGTACTCTCAGGTCTTTTAGTCACTGGATGTATTGGTGGGACTCACTTGATGAATAATCCAACATTACTAATGGTCAATGGCCTAGCGACATCAGCCTCGTACTTTTCAAAGAAAGGTCAAGGGTTCAAGTCTCAAAAGAGACATATATATGTAAGTACCAACTACAAAAAAAAAAATGATCTAAGTCTTAAATAAAAAAATAAAAAAGGAATAGCAAATTTGCCCAAAATACATGGGAAAATGTTTAATGTGCCAGAAATATATGATGATATAGTATCGAACTTACAGTATTATATATTCTTATTTATGTGATAAGATTTAATTGGTTGATGAAATGGATGACTTGGTACTCCCGAATAATTTTAACAAAAATATAAGCTGGTCTAAGCCCGAAGTCAGCCTGGCTGTGGGTCACACCTTAACCTTTCAGGCTGTCTCATCCATTTGGGATGGTTTAAGGAAGTCCAACTAGTACACAGTTTGGTCAAGCCCAATGAATGCAAGACCAGAATAGTAGTTTGATGCTAGTTGAGGGCATGCATTACAAGGACAAATTGGAAATAGAAATGGTTTGGAGTCTTTGGACAATAGAACCTTTATGTGGCCAGGTCTAAAGCCAACTTTGGGTTTTATGTATTTGTGTCCTTTTTTGGCATTCCCATTGTATAAATATTAGTCTATGTTTTCAGCATTACTGGTAACATATAGCACCAAAAAAAAAAAAAAAGATTACAAAACACAAAATTGAGATATATTACTGCTTTCTTCAATTTTTTTTGGGGGGTAAGTTGTTTTCTTCAACTTTGCTTTTTAGTATACTGTAATTTCAGGTTACTCTATGCTATCCATGAAGAGATGTTGCATAAGTTGTATGCAATGTAGGAAGTTGATTTCCAGGCTTCCTTCCAAGAAGAGGCTCTGAAACCAATTGAGCTAAGCCTTGTTGGTATGTTAGGTGGTGTAATGAATATCTCCATTCAGGCATAGACATTTATGTTGCAGTGTTTGTATGGGCATTGTGCAGGTGCTTGAGATGCTATCGGAGGACTATGGTGGTCGCGTGGAGCTCGCCAAAGCTTACTACAAGGCCCTAACTGCTTCTGTGAGGAAACATTTTAATGGGAATGGGGTCATTGCTAGCATGGAGCATTGCAATGACTTCATGTTCTTAGGAACAGAGGCCATTGCCCTCGGACGCGTAGGTATGCCTCAGATTTTAGCATTAATTAATGATACTTATTATTAAGTCAGTCTGTTAGCATATCAGTCAAGCTTATGAAATGCCAGTGTGTGAATGCTCGCAAGGCTTATGTGCTGTTTGGTTGATAAGAAAATTCTTGGAAAGAAATGACATTTGGTTTTCCTTTGCCATTTCACTCCTAGCTACATAGTTTCCTCTCTTCTTGGTAATTACCTAGTGCAAATTAGGACTTTAAGGTTGTGACCTTTCTCTGAATTGAATGGCACAGAGAGTGTTCACTAGACTTATATATATATGCTGCTTGGTTGTTAAGAAAATTCTTGGAAATGAATGAAATTTGGTTTTCCTTTGCCATTTGACTTCTAGCTACATAGTTTCCTCTCTTCTTGGTAACTAAGTGTAAATTAGGACTTTAAGGTTGCGATCCCTTTCTCTGAATTGAATGAAATAGAGACAATGTTGACTAGACTTATATATATGCTGCTTGGTTGATAAGAAAATTATTGGAAATGAATGAAATTTGGTTTTCCTTTGCCATTTGACTTCTAGCTACATAGTTGCCTCTCTTCTTGGTAACTAAGTGTAAATTAGGACTTTAAGGTTGTGATCCCTTTCTCTGAAATGAATGACATAGAGATAATGTTCACTAGACTTATATATATGCTGCTTGGTTGATAAGAAAATCAATGGAAATGAATGAAATTTGGATTTCCTTTGCTGTTTGACTTCTAGCTACATAATTTCCTATCTACTTGGAATCTAAGTGGAGATTAGGACTTTTAAGGTTGTGACCTTGCTCTGAATTTTGATAGTAATACTTGGACTTTTTCATAGGCACTAACATTTTTGTGTTAATATGATTAGGGGATGATTTTTGGTGCAGTGATCCATATGGAGATCCAAGTGGGGTATTTTGGCTCCAAGGGTGCCATATGGTGTACTGTGCCTACAACAGCTTGTGGATGGGCAACTTCATTCATCCAGATTGGGACATGTTCCAATCTACTCATCCATGTGCCGAATTCCATGCTGCCTCTCGAGCCATCTCCGGTGGACCTATCTACGTTAGCGACTCTGTCGGGAACCACAACTTTGAGCTGCTCAAGCGCCTAGTGTTGCCGGATGGATCCATCCTACGATGCCAACATTATGCGCTTCCAACTAGAGATTGCCTTTTCGAAGATCCATTGCGCGATGGTAAAACCATGCTCAAGATTTGGAACCTCAACAAAGTGAGAAAAAATTTCCCCTTGGTCGATAAAATTTTCTTTTATACGTGCGCGCGCACACACATTGATTAATGTTGCACATTGACTAGACTATTGTCATATAGACCATAGAGCATTTTTGTCAATAAAATGATTTAAACCACATATTGGGAAGAAAAAAAAAAAGGGTGTTCACCAATTTTTAATCCAATGCTGATTTGATTAAGAACATTCACTAGACTAAGGGGAATTTGAAATGAATCAACTTGAGCTTCTTCTTAATAAAATGTTGTTTTGGTTTGTATTCGTGACAGTTTACTGGAGTTGTTGGAGCGTTTCACTGTCAAGGAGGAGGATGGTGCAGGTTGTCACGACGAAACAAGAGGACCATTGAGTCCTTACAGAGTGTGACCTGTTGGGTAAGTCCTAAAGACATTGAGTGGAGCAATGGGAATAACCCAATCTCCATCGAAGGAGTGGACATATTTGTTGTCTACATGTTTCAACAAAAGAAGCTAATGCTCTTGAAGTCATCAGACAACTTGGAGGTTTTGCTTAGTCCATTGGACTATGAGCTCCTAATAGTTTCTCCAGTGAAAGTTTTACCAAGCAAGTCTGTTCAATTTGCTCCTATTGGATTGGTGAACATGCTCAACTCCGGTGGTGCAATTCAATCGTTGGTCATCGATGATTATGAGAATTCGGCGAGAGTTGGAATCAAAGGAAGAGGGGAAATGAGTGTCTTTGCATCCGAGAAACCGGTTACTTGCCGGATCAATGGAGTGGATGTTGATTTCAGTTACAATGATCATATGGTCACAGTTCAAGTTCCGTGGCCTAATTCTTCCGGATTGTCTGAAATTGAGTACTTGTTTTGAAGTTCAACTATGCTCGTGCACTACATTAGTCCTTTTCTTCTTCTTTTTTTTTTTTTTTTTTTTTTTTTTCATTTTTTTTCCTTGGGAAGTTCAATGATGATGGGTTTTCCTCATCCAAGATTTGTAACTAATCTTGGCGTTACTGAAGTTTGTGAAATGGAGTGTGTGTTCAAGTTTTCAAAAGAAGTAATGTACTTTTGTTTTGCTGGTAGTGTATTAGTTTAGGCCTATATGCACGTGTGTGTGTGTGTATGTTTTTTTTTTTTTTTTTTTTTTTTGTTTAAAAGGATTAGAAATTAGATTAGTAAATACATAAAGTCGAAGTCTAACACTTCAAAGTTCACCAAAAGTACTAACCTACTGGACTATTAAAGCATCTACATGTATATATATGTTTCATATATCTACTATTTGTAAATATATTGTTGGGCTTTGTATTTAAGAGAATATATTGTTGGGCTTTGTATTTAAAAAAAGTTAAATACATCTTTTAATAAATTTCTCAATCAAGTTAAATACATCTTTTAATAAATTTCTCAATGTAGTAGTCAACGGACTTTGTCTTTTTTAATTATTATTATTATTATTTTTTTTGGGAAGGTTAAACAAATATTATAAAGTATACAGCTCGGGCTGGAGCAAATAGGCCCAAATTCCCAAAAGGGAAACAATACAAACAAACAGCACACTCAGCACACATATAGGAATAAATTAAATTAAACATAGCCTATAAACAAAAAGTAATTTATTAAAGTGCATAAAATGAAAATAAAGATGCATAGAATCAGACCTCAGACTAGCAAGGCATCCAACAGTAGCTCTACAGGGGGTTATTTGTGGTGTACACATATAGATATACATATATGTGCGCGCACGCACACGCACGCGCATTGAATCTTGATTGGACAATGGACTTGAGTTTTGACATCGTGCACTATTCTCAAGTATGAAGTGACAGTAATGTTATGGAGGCTAGGATCCCACGTCATTATGATGAACTAATCGTCTTAATACGAGGCTATTGAGACCAAGTGACCGGTATTATCAAACAATTATATCTTATTACATAAAGAAAAGTATTTTGTTCTAATTTTTTATTAATAAATTTTTTATTTACCCTAACTAATTATCTAAGGCCTCAAGTTCAAATTGCAAGATATTTTTATCAGGCTCGAACACTGGCCTTTCCCTTTGAAAAGGAAGGGTTGATCCCCCAAATGCATAAACATACAAGGGAATCATTAAGAAAATGAGAGACGCTCCAAAAGCCCTCTTACATAAGCCCATGGGCTTGCATAAAAGAAAAGCCTTCACTTGACAGATAGCAAAGAAGAGCTTTTCTCTCTTTTGATTCCACTAGGAAGTACCCACCCCCTATTGTTAAATCTTTCTGCTAAAAGGAAAGAGAAAAAAGGGAGGTCTCATTCAATGATGGTAGTATATATCTGGCAAGTATCTGCAGATATGAATGCTTCAAAAACAATGAGAGCATAGATTCTTTTTGATATATGAAAAGTTACAAGAATGCACATGAGAGATTAATGGAGCATTATAAAGTGAACTTTATATAAACTAAAGTTTTGTTGGTGTGAGGATGATATTTTTGCTCTAAAAGTTGAAATGAGGCAGAGAATCTTTGTTGTGTCCCTTCCAAGGATCAATGGTGGCATCACAAAGTGAAAGGTTCTGTCAAAATCTTACCAACTTGACTCTGGAAACTGAAAAGTATTGGGGGGTTAATGAATCATCATGGGCCATTTCTCTGCTTTTGTCATCTGGTGGTCCCCTTTTATGTTCAATTCGTCCTCTTGACAGATTAGTCAGGGATTGACTCACACACAGTTCACTATGATGGGTTAACATGTCAAGTTAGAAATGGTGCAAGTGTGATCTGTGATGATGTGATCACAATATTTTCAGTAAGGAATGTGTGTGTGTGTGTGTGAGAGAGAGAGAGAGAGAGAGAGAGAGAGTTATGTGGTACATTTTAAACTAGTTGAAGTTGAGCATTTTCATGCACACAAAGAAGTGGCCATTAGCCAATGGTTTAAATAAGCCTTTTCTTTTTCTTCGCGAGTTCTCAGTGGCAATTTGTGAAATATGTATGAGTACTTAATCAAAAGAAAAAATAAAAAAATTAACATTTAAAGTTATGATGTTATGAAGAACTTGTTAGCAAATGGAAGAAAAAAAGAAAAGAAAGTTACGGGGAAACGTAAAACTTGAGTATTACAATTTATCGGGAACACCAGTCAAAGGGAATTGATTTCCGAATTTTAAATAAAATAATTAACGAAGGGCTAGAGCCTAATAATACTTTCTCCTCATAAGCAAAAGTTTAATGGTGCAAGTATCTGTAAGAATAAAATGATTATGTAAGTATTTTTTGTTAAATGGTAGTGATTGGCTCGGTTTTTGTTGGTCAAGTTCCAGCTCATCTTATTTTATTCATTTAATCAATCTCAACATCCTTCTTGAGTTTTAACTTGAACTCTAGTTTGAGATCGAAATTGACAAGATGAAAATGAGCTTTAAATCTAAACGGGTCATAATAGTACGCATCAATCTTAAAAAGTTAAGTTCACGAATAAAAGTTCAGAAATATATTCACGAGTTTATCAAGTCAAAAGTTTTCTGACTCAGTTCTGACTTAGCTTATTTACTTAATTTATTTAAAAATGTTGCTTTTATTGGGAATATCATTAAACTAACACAATCTAAGCTCTTATCTAGTTGGTGATGCTGTTCCTAATTATAACATAGTTTGGAGTGTCAGAGTTTCTTCGTTTTACCATTTTTTAGCAGCTCTTCTAAAAAAAAATATATCCGCTTAGACGCGAGGGTTACCTTCTATATACTATAATTAATTAAATATGACTATTTCATTTTTAAAGATGCATTTTCAAAAAAATAATTAGAGGCTTAAAATCCTAAACTTTGATTGAAGAATTGAACCTATGATCAATAGGGTGGGGGTATTTTAAGCCTGACCCTTTTACCACTCAGATAACACCGCCACACTTAACTCTGATGAAGTTGACCATGTTCATTCATTTGCAATCCTAATTATAACACATTTAAGAGTGCTGAGTTTCTTCTTCTTTTCCTTTTTTTAAGTAGCTTTTCTAAAAAACTTATCCAATAATCATTCCTAGAATTGAGGGTGACAAATTTTTAAAATTTTTTTTTTTTTAGAGCAGGTGTATTGGCCCCACAACACTAATACTATTCAAATTAGGAGTGTGGTTCAAAAGCGAGACCAAAATGCAGTAACCACCTAAACTATTCCTCAGTTACATATACCCCCATCTGTTGCATAAAACTCTCCCATCCTATAAAAATTTGAGAAATTATTATATAGTCCAAGCCAATTAATATTTGATATTTACAAAAAACAAAATAAAATTTACACATTTTTGACACATTTGTTTGAGTGTCAAATGATGATTGGCGGGCCCGGGATTAATGGTTTGAAATAATTTTTCATGAAAATTTATAGGTTTTTTTTTTTATTTTTTGTCAGCGGGGGCAATTTCAAAATTTCATGAGCATAAATGTAAAATAAGTATAAATTTAGATGTGTAAAATGTAATAACAAAAAATTTTAGTGAAAGTGAATGTTCACACTAAGCCCACCGTAAATCCATGCCTGATTATGTTGTAAAAAGTTGTATATGGGTGTATTTTTGGACCTTACTTACGAAGCTAAATATATTTTTTTTATCATCACAATAACTAATTTTATTACGTTATGCCTATGTAGACTCGATTCTATCACACACGATGTCTCCATCTCTTTTCACAAGGACTGATTTTTTTTTTTCCCCCATACTAAGACAAAATTTACTGGTGCAAGTCATTCCATGGATAAAGATGATTGTGTTGAAAAATTTGTCACTCAGACCAATAATAGGCTATGAGTCCACAACTAAGGTCCCCAAACTTAATTAGGTATTTATGTTACTCCTGCCACGTGTCAGTTATCCACCACTAGCAGCACTAGGGGACCTTGTGGACTTGACAATGCTTTCTTTGAAGAAGGACCATCTCCTTAATGGGTGCAGATGGCTGCAGCTCTGAAGGCCTATTTTTCTTAAATTTTAGAAGGACCACTTTTAGGCAAGAAGTAGGATAATGACCACCCTTAAATGGCTGAAAATTGAGTCTTCAAACCATGTGACCTGACCTCGGTTATATTTATTTACATTCTCTGCAAAAGATTAGCATGACTGAGCTTTCCAACATCAACATGGTCCTCCTCCATAGAGATGCCCCAACTCTACTTCAGTATGCTGATTTTGTGGACCCTAAATCACAGCTTAGAGATTTTGGTTTCATCCCTTTCTTTTTTGGATTATTTTCTTTATCATATATATATGCATGTAGTAAATTATTCATTTCTTAATAATGAAGTATAAAATATCTCAGCAAGCTACTTATGTTTGTCTTTTTGCTTTAGGCGTTTAACCAATTTAGCTTTCCACTTTGTCAGTGTTCTCAAATTTAGGATGGAAACTTAAGACATCACATTAATTGGGGAAGCCTTCAATGTATTAAATATCTAATTTCACTAAAAAGATACCATAAACACAAGTTGGAGAAAACTCTATCTTTGTAAACATTTATTATTTGGAGCAACTGAAATCATAAATAAATTAGGCAAAATTATAATCTCAAATAATAAATAAAAAATTAAAATATCTCGTGTTTGGCACACCATCTTACAAGTTGGGGGAGGGGGGAATGGATTATATGAATTTATCATACTTTCCATAAATCAATCTCCCCTTCTAGACATGCACATATTTACATTACATGAAATTATTGACAATCATTGATAGGGAAAAATAAACCTATCGTGACCTAACGATAAAGGCAACTAAGTGTTGACCAGCCGCCAGATCTATTCGGTGATCAACGATAATATTTTGTTATTAGGGATAACGATTTTCATGGATAAGAATGATGACAAATCTCATCCAGGATAAGATTTCTATAGGATAAGTTCCATGGGATAAGGATGACGAAATTCCCTTATCGAGAATAAGGGAAGCGACGACAAA